CCTCCTATTAGAGCCCTTTCTACACCAACCATGTTAACAGAAGAGGTAGACATTTTCGAAGCTAGACTAGCTAACCTTTTTGACATGCCTTCCACCATTCCAACAACTATCAATGAAACTGAGCCATTAGTCCTAGCTGATTCTCTCTTAGAAATTTTTTAGAGCTCTTCTTCCACTAGTAGAACTTCTTTGCCTTCATTAGGCTTGGACAGTTGTTTGGAGTTGCTGACATTTTTCTCGAGGGTCCCCTTCGAAGCCTTGCAAAGGCCTATTATCAAGAATGGCTTTCTCCAGTGCTGTAAGGTTGTTGAACAAACCAGCATGACTATTTCAAGTCATTTATCTCAGGCGGCAGCTACCATTAACTTTTACATCAACATCTGCCATGTTGCCAAAGCTGCAGAAGAGAAATTGCTGAGAGACCAGAGATTTATTTTCCAAATACATGTTGAAGTGTCAAATTGAAAGAACAACATTTCTATGTCTTTCAATTTCGAGCTCAACTATTGGAGAAAAAAGCTCAGCTTGAAGAAGAGTTATTAGCAGTCAACCTGACTTTAGATCGAATTGCCACCAAGCTGTAGATTACTAACCAAGAACTGGCTGATCGAAAGCAGAAGATGGCTACAGCCATTCAATTGTTCCCATCTCTTAAGAGTAGAGAGTTAATTGTAAAGGAACAACTGAAACATTGTACTGACTTTTGGGCCAATCTATGGCTGCATGTATTCAGCTCATTATGAAATAAGATCTTTATTTATTATTTGAGTGTTTTCATGCTCCTTTCGTTTAGCACTTATTATATTCCTTGTGTTTCCCATACGATTGGATAATAAGGCTTCAAATATTTGCCATTAATTTTCTTGGGGTGTACATATCCATTCAAATTTCTCAAATGATATGTTCCCCAAGACAAGACTCTATGAACTTGATATGGTCCTTCCTAGTTAGGTGACCATTTGCCAAACTTATGGCTTTTAATCCCTATTGGGAGTATTGTCTTCCATACCAAATCATCTTCATCGAAGCTAATGTGTTTGACCTTCTTGTTATAGTTTTTTGCTACTTTCTTCTTTTGAAAAAGAATGCTATTTAATACCAGAATTCTAACTTCATCCACATTCTCTAATTTCAAGCACATACTCTGATGGTACTGCTCAAGAACTAACTGATCCTGGCATCTTACCCTCAAGGACTTGATGTTAATTTCTATAGGTAGTACTGCATCATGCCCATGTACTAAGGCATAAGGAGTGACTCCTGTACTTGATCTTGGAGAAGTCCTATAAGCCTATAATACATCCAACAGTAAGTTATGCCAATCCCTGGGATTGTCTTCTACAACTTTTTGTATTCCTTTCTTCAAAGATTTATTGGATGATTCTATCTGACCATTAGCTTGTGCATAATAGGGGGTAGAATTAACAAGGCTAATTCCAAACTCTGCCACAAAAAACTTTAACATCTTCCTATCAAATACAGTCTCATTATCAACAGTTATAGTCTGTGGGATGCCAAATCTGTGGATCAGATCTTTAATAAATCCAATAACTTCAATCTGGTCTACAGCCTTATACGGTTTAGCTTCGACCCACTTAGTGAAGTAATCTGTGGCCACTAAGATGAAACAATGATACTTCGAAGAGGGTGGATGTATTTTCCCTATCATATCCATAACCCATCCTCTAAACGGCCAAGGCTTCAGAACCGCATGCAGATTAGTTATGGGTACATGTCTTATTGTGCCATGCTATTGGCATGCCTGGTAACCTTTAGCATATTCTATGCAATCTTTAAGGATGGTTAGCCAATAGTAGGAATGTCTTTGAAACAGCCATCTCATCACACCAAGCTGATGAGCACCACAAATGCCTTCATGAACCTCAGCCATGTCTATCAATGCTTTCTTTGGGCCTAAACATTCCAATAATAACCTGTCTGCCCCCCTTTTGTAGAGAGCATTACCATACATTATGTATTGCATAGATTGCAATTTGATTTTTCTACTGGCTTTCGAAGATGGGCCAGCTAGATACTGCATTATTAGATGCCTCCAATCTTGTTCTTGTAAGTCATTATGTGTAACAACCCCGACTCATGATTAACATTAATCCATGATTAATTATGCCTAACAGTAATTAAGGAGGAATTCTAAATTAATTTGCATGTGTTTGTTGCATTGTTTGTGTTTATATTTGTTTTCCATAGGAAGATCTGTTCGTGTCTTAGTTTCGATTTGCGAATTGAAGGCCTTATCGGCATTTGATACAGAAATTGATTTGAATTATGTGTTAATTAGAATTTATAGGATTTTATGGTAGGTTTAATTGAAATTCATTTCGGAACGATTAAATAAGATTAATTTAATCCCACTTAATTGTCTATGACTTAAACTAATTAAACACCATTTCTTTTATAAGCACACTTACCTCTTCTCATCCATTTGCATAAACCTTTGAGCCTATTCTAAACAAAACAAAAAAAAAACGTGAGAAAGGGAGAGTAGAGAGAAATTGAGCTCAAACAAAGAATTGGCTAGGAAATTGAAGACAATTTGAGGCCTTGAGTTGGAATCACAGTTGCATTCAACATTAGGTAAGAACTATACTCCTAAACTTTGTACTTAAGACAATTAGTATATGAATTCAAGAGAGTTAGGTGTACAATTAAGCTAAGATTGAAGAATTAAAGCTCAACACATACATGCATATATATAATCCATGGCATTTGAGGGTGTTTTTTCAAAGAATTCTTGCATGCATGTCATAATTCTAGCTTCGTTTTGGAGATTCCCTCATGCATGTCTTGAATTCACTTTGATTGTTGGAAAATATCAAGTTTTATGTTGTTTGGTAACACTTGATTATGTTTTGAGAAGCTTTGGTTCAAAGAATTGCATGCATGTCATGTTCTTGGGTTATTCTTGGATTTAAGTTGAATTTTGTGCAATTGGCATGTCATTGGGCCATGATTTCTTGAAATGATCCTCTAAACATGTTGTTTTATGAGTTTCTAAGTGTTTTCTCAAGTTTTGGCCCAGAAAAATGAAGTTTGATGCTTTAATGTTTGAGTTTGAACTTGAGGATCAAATCTGGAAATTCTAGAAATTTGATCCACGCTCGAGCGGGGAACTCCACACTTGAGCGAGCACTCAGAGTACGTACACTTCCGCTCGAGTGACGTGAGTTACGCTTGAGCGTAAAATGCATGTACCCAGAAGTTCGTATGTTTTACAGTCTGCTCGAGCGAGGGACTTCACGCTGGAGCGAAGGTCTGAGTCTCACGCTCGAGCGAAGGTCGAGTGCCCGTCAAGCGTGAAATCCATGCATCTAGTACTTTTGTTAAAATTTATAGTTTGCTCAAGTGAGGGAGTTAATGCTCGAGCGAACCTTCACTTCTTACATGTTCGCTCGAGCGAAGAAAGCTACGCTCGAGCGTGGACCCTGCTTTCAGCAAGTTTTGAAAAATGTTTTCAAGTACATTTTTGCATCCTCATTCCATCCTAGGCATTCTTAAGCCATGATTAAGACTCCATAATGAGGTTAAAGGCTAGAAATACACTAAAAACAAATAAAGTAAGTTGTGTGCGTTTTGAACGTGTGTTTCAAGTGTGTGTTTGTTATATGTTCGTGTAGGTCACGTGCCATAAACCGTTGATTAGTCTGCTCTATCTGTCTGCACCTAAAGCCAACTGTGAGTAATAACTTAGTAAAGCTATGTTCGACTTTATTTATTTTTTGTATGATGAATTAAGATCTGTTTTCTGAAATGATATGTTCTGTACAATGAGTGATTGTCCAATTTATGACATGTATTCGTGGCATCCTTAGCAACATGTGATATCTGTTAGCTGTTACCCGGTATCGAAGGTCCTATTATGGGACTTGTTATGTCTGTCATCTGTTACCCGTACCGGAGGCTCCATCATGGAGCTCAGCATGTATATTCTCTGTTACCCGGTATCGAAGGTTCCATTATGGAACTTATTATATCTGACATCTGTTACCTGTACCAGAGGCTCTATCATGGAGCTTAGAATGTTTATTCTCTGTTACCCGGATCCCGAGGTTCCTTTACGGAACTGGTTATTCATAACCACCATGTGTCTGCATCTGTTTTGTATCTGTTCTGTTAGCCCTAAGGGATGTACCACGTATGATTAAGCATGAGCTCTGACTGCCATATTTACTTTGGACAAGAATATGAATATGAATCTGTTTATGAATCTGAACTATGATTTCTGAAGCTGTATAGACTTCATTCATTAAAACCCTTTACCCCGTTATTATTCACTAGGCTTCCGCTCACTGTTTATATTATGTATGCAGGTGAGCCGATACGTGATCAGGGCCAGAGTTGATGGCCCACGTTTTAGTTTTGTCAGCCAACCCTTGCAACTCTCGAGAAGGTTCCTGATGAAGCTTGGTTTTGTGGCTATTTTTGTAATCTGTATTAGACTACGTTTGTTTGTTAAGTTGTGGGTGAGATTTTTGTCATGTACGCCTAAGTGTGTTGTGTATATATTATGTATGTTGACTTCACTCGTATTTTATAAAAGTTTCAAGCTATTCTGTCTCATGTATGTTATCACAGCTCATTGGACCTTGTCTATTTTGTATATTTGCTTCCGCAGCCCCTATCTATATGTTATTCTATCATGAGGCCTTTAGTAATCTAAGGATTACTGGCCGGTTGCGATACTAAACCTATAGGGGCGGGTTTGGGTCATGACAGAGTGGTATCAGAGCACATGTTCTACTGCACACACAGGTCCATATGAACTTAGGTTGTCCTAGTAAGAATTAGGGACATTCCATCTGCGTGTGTGAGTGTGTGGTAATCCAAATGGATATGAAAATTAAGTATAAATCTAAGCAAATGAATTGAAAGAAAAGAATGAGATTATTCCTATGTTTATTATCATTTGATGTCTCTATAACAACATAGAGAATGCAAGGGGAAATGATGTAAGTGAATCTTCAGAGGCTTGCATGAGCTGAATGGAACAAATGCTTGCGGCGCTGACTGAAACTGTGACACAACAGCAAAGACAACAACCTTTGCCCCCTCCACCCCCACCGGCACAAGCTGAAGCAGATGATAATAACATCATCAACTTGACTCAGAAATTCATGAAGATGAAACCACCAACGTTCTTTGGTGGAATTAAACCATTGAAAGCAGAAACATGGTTGCTCGAAATGGAAAAACTGTTTGAAGTATTTCCCTGTACCGAGATTCATAAGGTTTTATTGGCCACCTATACTCTAAAAGACGAAGCTCAAAGATGGTGGTTACTGATTCAGAATACCAATGGGAACATGATGTGGACTGGATTTAATGAGATCTTTTATGAAAAGTATTTTCCTCAATATTTTCGGGATCGAAAAGTGTCTGAATTCCAAGAACTTAAACAAGGCAGAATGTCTGTAGCCGAGTACGAGGTAAAGTTCACCGAATTAGCTAGATTTGCTCCTCATATGGTGGACACAGACTATAAGAAAGCTTGCAAATTTGAGGGAGGGTTAAACTTGGACATATTTGATCGAGTTGGGGTACTAAAGTTGCCAACATACGTGCAAGTTCTTGATAGATCTTTAATGGCGAAAGTCACCCTAGCCCCTATGAAGCAAAGTAAGGCCCCAACAGCAACAATTGATTGGAGAGGAAAAAGGTCTGGGTATGGTTTCAGAAAAGACCGTTCTCATGTAAATAAGAAACAGAATACGGGATTTACAAGCAGTTCGAGCCAGAGTAGTGGGTCTATTCCAGTTTGTCCTGATTGCGGAAGAAGGCATAGGGGTGTATGCTACCGAGCATCTGATGCTTGTTTCCAATGTGGCAAGACGGGTCACATGGTGAAAGATTGCCCACTTGGGTCTGAGAACACCAGCCATCCTATGATGAGTTCAGCCGGGTCCGCTTCTATAGTAAAAACAAATACAAATGCTAATACTGGGAAAGAACCTTTGAGACAAGGTCGAGTGTTTGACTTAGTGCCTGGTGACGTATAGAACATCGAAACTGCGGTGTCAGGTATACTCCCTATATGTTTTCAAAATGCATATGTATTGATAGATTCTGGTGCTATGCATTCCTTCATATCGTATGTTTTCTCTCGGAAATTAACTAGACCACTAGAGCTTATGACATATGTGTTATCTGTTTCTACACCGTCTGGGGGTTCTATGTTATGTACTTGTGTTTATCCAGCATGCGACATTATGGTTGGTGATATGATATTGTATGTTGACTTATTGCCCTTGGACATTGATCATTTTGATTGTATTCTGGGTACGGATTGGTTGACTAAATACTGTGCTACTATTGACTGTGCGAGTAAGTCTGTTGTGTTTAGACCGCCGAGTATACTTGAATTTATTTTTACTAGAAATGGGGTAGTTCCTTCCCCGTACCTAATTTCATCCATGAAAGCTGTGAAATTACTTAGGAAGGGATGTAGGGGTTACCTGTGTTGTATACTGACTGCACCATCTGATTATGCTAATGTGGAAACTATTCCTGTTGCTTGTGAATTTTCCGATGTTTTCCCAAATGACTTACCTGGGGACTTAGTTGATAGGGAAATTGAATTCACTATTGAGGTAATTTCGGGAACACAACCTATTTCCAAGACCCCATATAGAATGTCAACCTCATAATTGAAAGAGTTAAAAACACAACTTCAAGAACTGTTAAACAAGAAATTCATTTGCTTGAGCACTTCACCTTGGGGTGCTCCCGTCCTGTTTGTCAAAAAGAAGGATGGATCTTTGAGGTTATGTATAGACTATTGGGAATTGAACAAAATAACTATCAAGAACAAATACCCTTTGCCCCGAAGACAGGTCCTTGAGATTATGTATAGACTATTGGGATTTGAATAGAGTGACTATAAAAAATAAGTACCCTTTGCCCCGAATAGATGATTTGTTTGATCAACTCCAGGGAGCTCAAGTATTTTCCAAAATTGGCCTTAGATCGAGTTATCATCAATTGAGAGTTAAGGCAAAAGACATTGAGAAAACCGCTTTCCGAACCAGATACGGACATTATGAATTTTTAGTCATGCCATTTGGGGTAACGAACGCACCTGCGACTTTCATGAACATAATGAATAGGGTTTTCAAACAATTTTTTGATGAATTTATAGCTGTATTTATTGATGATATCATGATTTATTCGAAAAGCAAGGAAGAACATGAACATCATCTGAGAACAACTTTACAAATTTTGAGAGAAAAAAAGTTATATGCCAAATTGTCCAAATGTGAATTTTGGCTTAACAATGTGACATTTTTGGGACATGTAATCACCAAGGATGGTATTTCTGTTGACCCTCAGAAAATTAAAGCTATCGTGGACTGGCCAAAACCGACAAATGTGGCAGAGGTTAGAAGTTTTCTGGGACTTGCAGGTTACTACAGGAGATTTGTGAAAGACTTTTCAAAACTTGCCATGCCATTGACCCAGTAACTTAGAAAAATGTGCCATTTAATTGGAATGAGCAACGAGAGTCAGCCTTTCAAGAGTTGAAGACCAGATTAGTGACTGCACCAATCCTGACTTTGCCTAATGATACCGATGGATTTTAGATTTACAGTGATGCTTCCTATAAGGGTTTAGGATGTGTGTTAATGCAAAATGGAAAAGTGATTGCTTATGCTTCTCGATAACTCCATCCACATGAAAAGAATTACCCGACTCATGATCTTGAATTGGCAGCTGTGGTGTTTGCTTTGAAAATCTGGCGTCACTATCTGTATGGCGTAACTTGTGAAGTGTATACCGATCACAAAAGTTTAAAATATTTCTTTACTTAGAAAAAACTGAACATGAGACAAAGACGATGGCTTGAATTGATTAAGGATTATGACCTACAGATTTTGTACCATCCAGGGAAAACCAATACCGTTGCAGACGCTTTGAGTAGAAAGTCAATGGAAAATTTGTCATGCTTACTCACCAGTCACAGAGAGTTGATATGTGACTTGGAAAAGAATGAGATTAAAGTTGTGTTGCATAAATAGGGTGGGATCTTAGTTGCCATTTCTTCTTAACCTGCAATCATTGAAGAGATTAAAGAGAAACAGTGTGAAGATAAAGTCTTGAAGAAAATTTGTGATGAGATTGATTCAAAACCAAAACCAGGATTTATATTAGAGAACAATGTGCTGAAATTTCAAAATAGACTTTATGTACCAGATTGTTTTGATTTGAGGAAACGTGTTATGACCGAAGCCCATAATTCAAAGTTTAATATGCATTCAGGGAACACAAAAATGTTTCATGACTTGAAACAGAACTTCTGGTGGCCTGGGATGAAGAAAAGCATTGCTGATTTTGTGGTAAGATGTTTACATTGCCAACAAGTTAAAACCAAACATCAACGACCAGTTGGTTTGCTACAGCCACTTCCACCATTGACTATGTGAGTAAATTTGTTATGTTTTGACCACAAGGTGATCCTGAGTTTGTCTTTACTGGGAATGGGGCAGTTCCTTCGCCGTACTTGATTTCATTTATGAAGGCCAAGAAGTTGTTAAGAAAAGGGTGTCGGGGCTACTTATGTTGTGTAATGACTGAGTCTTTAGATATTGCTAGTATGGAAACTATATCTGTGGTTAATGAATTTCCTGATATCTTTCCAAATGATTTACTCAGAGACTTAATTGGTAGGGAAATTGAGTTTACCATTGATGTTGTACCCGGGACACAAGCGATTTCTAAAACCCCATACTGAATGTCAATTACTGAATTGAGAAAATTAAAGGTCCAACTCCAAGAATTACTAGACAAGAAATTTATCCGACCGAACACTTCGTCTTGGGGTGCTCCAGTGTTGTTTATTAAGAAGAAAGACAGGTCCTTGAGATTATGTATAGACTATTGGGATTTGAATAGAGTGACTATAAAAAATAAGTACCCTTTGCCCCGAATAGTAATTTCCTTTCGTGTCTCTATTTTCCTTTCTCAAATTCTTGATACTGAGACTTAACATTACTTTGTATTTCTTCTTTTGCAGCAACAATTATTCTGTCTTCTCCTTCAATAAGGACTTCTTCAATTTCATCTGAAGTTGAAAGACGTCGAAATGTGGAGCCAATTCAAGTAATACTCCTACTCCCCCTTGGTCCTACATTTTTCATACATTTCTTGAGGCAAAACATTCCTGCATCCCTATCTTTCGACTTAACTCCATACTTTCATTTTCTATCCTTCAACTCTACCCAATTTATTCTCCCTTCAAGCCTTGCTGCTCCTTTCCCTTCCGTAGAGAAGACACCGGTAGCTCACCAGTTCCTTGCCCACTATCCCTATCTAGCTCCAGTCCCTCTTCTCTTGACTTACTGGTAGCTAAGACTATAGAAACTGCTAGGGATACTTCATCTTCCTCTTCTATCCCTATGCAGTCATCTTTTCCTCCTATTAGAGCCCTTTCTGCACCAACCATGTTAACAAAAGATGTGGACATTTTTGAAGCTAGACTAGCTAGCCTTTTTGACATGCCTTCCACCATTCCAACAACTATCAATGAAACTGAGCCATTAGTCCTAGCTGATTCTCTCTTAGAAATTTTTTAGAGCTCTTCTTCCACTAGTAGAACTTCTTTGCCTTCATTAGGCTTGGACAGTTGTTTGGAGTTGCTGACATTTTTCTCGAGGGTCCCCTTCGAAGCCTTGCAAAGGCCTATTATCAAGAATGGCTTTCTCCAGTGCTGTAAGGTTGTTGAACAAACCAGCATGACTATTTTAAGTCATTTATCTCAAGCGGCAGCTACCATTAACTTTTACATAAACATCTGCCATGTTGCCAAAGCTGCAGAAGAGAAATTGTTGAGAGACCGGAGATTTATTTTCCAAATACATGTTGAAGTGTCAAATTGAAAGAACAACATTTCTATGTCTTTCAATTTCGAGCTCAACTATTGGAGAAAAAAGCTCAGCTTGAAGAAGAGTTATTAGCAGTCAACCTGACTTTAGATCGAATTGCCACCAAGCTGTAGATTACTAACCAAGAACTGGCTGATCGAAAGCAGAAGATGGCTACAGCCATTCAATTGTTCCCATCTCTTAAGAGTAGAGAGTTAATTGTAAAGGAACAACTAAAACATTATACTGACTTTTGGGCCAATCTATGGCTGCATGTATTCAGCTCATTATGAAATAAAATCTTTATTTATTATTTGAGTGTTTTCATGCTCCTTTCGTTTAGCACTTATTATATTCCTTGTGTTTCCCATACGGTTGGATAATAAGGCTTCAAATATTTGCCATTAATTTTCTTAGGGTGTACATATCCATTCAAATTTCTCAAATGATATGTTCCCCAAGGCAAGACTCTATGAACTTGATATGGTCCTTCCTAGTTAGGTGACCATTTGCCAAACTTGTGGCTTTTAATCCCTATTGGGAGTATTGTCTTCCATACCAAATCACTTTCATCAAAGCTAATGTGTTTGACCTTCTTGTTATAATTTTTTGCTACTTTCTTCTTTTGAAAAAGAATGCTATTTAATGCCAGAATTCTAACTTCATCCACATTCTCTAATTCCAAGCACATACTCTGATGGTACTGCTCAAGAACTAACTGATCCTGGCATCTTACCCTCAAGGACTTGATGTTAATTTCTATAGGTAGTATTGCATCATGCCCATATACTAAGGCATAAGGAGTGACTCCTGTACTTGATCTTGGAGAAGTCCTATAAGCCCATAATACATCCAACAGTAAGTTATGCCAATCCCTGGGATTGTCTTCCACAACTTTCTGTATTCCTTTCTTCAAAGATTTATTGGATGATTCTGTCTGACCATTAGCTTGTGCATAATAGGGGGTAGAATTAACATGGCTAATTCCAAACTCCGCCACAAAAGACTTTAACATCTTCCCATCAAATACAGTTTCATTATCAACAGTTATAGTTTGTGGGATGCCAAATCTGTGGATCAGATCTTTAATAAATCCAATAATTTCAATTTGGTCTACAGCCTTATACGGTTTAGCTTTGACCCACTTAGTGAAGTAATCTGTGGCCACTAAGATGAAACAACGATACTTCGAAGAGGGTGGATTTATTTTCCCTATCATATCCATAACCCATCCTCTAAACGGCCAAGGCTTCAAAACCGCATGCAGATTAGTTATGGGTACATGTCTTATTGTGCCATGCTATTGGCATGCCTGGTAACCTTTTCCATATTCTATGCAATCTTTAAGGATAGTTGGCCAATAGTAGGAATGTCTTCGAAGCAATCATCTCATTATCACACCAGGCTGATGAGCACCACAAATGCCTTCATGAACCTCAACCGTGGCTATCAATGCTTTCTTTGGGCCTAAACATTCCAATAATAACCTGTCTGCCCCCCTTTTGTAGAGAGCATTACCATACATTATGTATTGCATAGATTGCAATTTGATTTTTCTGCTGGCTTTCGAAGATGGGCCAACTAGATACTGCATTATTAGATGCCTCCAATCTTGTTCTTGTAAGTCATTATGTGTAACAACCCCGACTCATGATTAACATTAATCCATGATTAATTATGTCTAACAGTAATTAAGGAGGAATTCTAAATTAATTTGCATGTGTATGTTGCATTATCTGTGTTTATATTTGTTTTGCATAGGAAGATCTGTTCGTGTCTTAGTTTCAATTTGCGAATTGAAGGCCTTATCGGCATTTGATACAGAAATTGATTTGAATTATGTGTTAATTAGAATTTATAGGATTTTATGGTAGGTTTAATTGAAATTCGTTTCGAAACGATTAAATAAGATTAATTTAATCCCACTTAATTGTCTATGACTTAAACTAATTAAATACCATTTCTTTTATAAGCACACTCACCTCTTCTCATCCATTTGCATAAACCTTTGAGCCTATTCTACAAAAAAAAAAAAAAAAACGTGAGAATGGGAGAGTAGAGAGAAATTGAGCTCAAACAAAGAATTGGCTAGGAAATTGAAGACAATTTGAGGCCTTTAGTTGGAATCACACTTGCATTCAACCTTAGGTAAGAACTATACTCCTAAAATTTGTACTTAAGACAATTAGTATATGAATTCAAGAGAGTTAGGTGTACAATTAAGCTAAGATTGAAGAATTAAAGCTTAATACATACATGCATATATATAATCCATGGCATTTGAGGGTGTTTTTCCAAAGAATTCTTGCATGCATGTCATAATTCTAGCTTCGTTTTGGAGATTCCCTCATGCATGTCTTGAATTCACTTTGATTGTGGGAAAATATCAAGTTTTATGTTGTTTGGTAACACTTGATCATGTTTTGAGAAGCTTTGGTTCAAAGAATTGCATGCATGTCATGTTCTTGGGTTATTCTTGGATTTAAGTTGAATTTTGTGCAATTGGCATGTCATTAGGCCATGATTTCTTGAAATGATCCTCTAAACATGTTGTTTTATGAGTTTCTAAGTGTTTTCTCAAGTTTTGGCCCAGAAAAATGAAGTTTGATGCTTTAATGTTTGAGTTTGAACTTGAGGATCAAATCTGGAAATTCTAGAAATTTGATCCACGCTCGAGCGGGGACTTCACACTTGAGCGAGCACTCTGAGTACGTACACTTCCGCTCGAGCGACGTGAGTTACGCTTAAGCGTAAAACGCATGTACCCAGAAGTTCGTATGTTTTACTGTCCACTCGAGCGAGGGACTTCACGCTGGAGCGAAGGTCTGAGTCTCACGCTCGAGCGAAGGTCGAGCGTCCGTCAAGCGTGAAATCCATGCATCTAGTACTTTTGTTAAAATTTATAGTCTGCTCAAGCGAGGGAATTAACGCTCGAGCGAAACTTCACTTCTTACATGTTCGCTCGAGCGAAGAAAGCCACGCTCAAGCGTGGACCCTGCTTTCAGCAAGTTTTGAAAAATGTTTTCAAGTGCATTTTTGCATCCTCATTCCATCCTAGGCATTCCTAAGCCATGATTAAGACTCCATAATGAGGTTAAAGGCTAGAAATACACTAAGAACAAATAAAGAAAGTTGTGTGCGTTTTGAACGTGTGTTTCAAGTGTGTGTTTGTTATATGTTCGTGTAGGTCACGTGCCATAAACCGTTGATTAGTCTGCTTTATCTGTCTGCACCTGAAGCCAACTGTGAGTAATAACTTAGTAAAGCTATGTTCGACTTTATTTATTTTTTGTATGATGAATTAAGATCTGTTTTCTGAAATGATATGTTCTGTACAATGAGTGATTGTCCAATTTATGACATGTATTCGTGGCATCCTTAGCAACATGTGATATCTGTTAGCTGTTACCCGGTATCGGAGGTCCTATTATGGGACTTGTTATGTCTGTCATTTGTTACCCGTACCGGAGGCTCCATCATGGAGCTCAGCATGTATATTCTCTATTACCCGGTATCGAAGGTTCCATTATGGAACTTATTATATCTGCCATCTGTTACCCGTACCGGAGGCTCTATCATGGAGCTTAGAATGTTTATTCTCTGTTACCCGGATCCGGAGGTTCCTTTACGAAACTGATTATTCATAACCACCATGTGTCTGTATCTTTTTTGTATCTGTTTTGTTAGCGCTAAGGGATGTACCACGTATGATTAAGCATGGGCTCTGACTGCCATATTTACTTTGGACAAGAATATGAATATGAATCTATTTATGAATTTGAACTATGATTTCTGAAGCTGTATGGACTTCATTCATTAAAACCCTTTACTCCGTTATTATTCACTAGGCTTTCGCTCACTGTTTATATTA